ATATATATATATATCACATTTTTTATTTTACTTTATTTTATTTTGTTTAATTATTAAACTTAATTAAAAAATAGAAACAGATTGTCAATTTTTCTTTACTTGTTCTTTAAAATGTTAAGTATGTGAGAGCGGTGAAACTTTTATACACATTTGTATATTATGAAAATGGTTTTATTTTATAAAATTAATCGTATAAATTTTATTGACAGTAGTTTAATGTGCATATTTTTGCAAATCTAAAAAATGTACCATTTTTTGCAGGAAGATAATTCCATGTAAGTAAGAGAAAGGTAAATTTAATTAAATGTAAGAGAGTTTTAAATTTAATTAAGACTCCTGATATAATAGAGTCATTTTTTGAGGGATACAGTCATTCTGATCTCTCTTCTGTCTCTGATTAGCTATTTATAAATGTTTAATGTAATAAGTGTTCGTTTATCAATGTTTTCTTATGTTATTTATCGCTTTTTATGTAAAAAATGTTATATAAATTACAAATATAATATTTTTTTTCCTTGAATAGTTTTGTCCCGCTAGATTCGCAAATTGAATCACTGTGCGACTAGTTAAACCTCTTAAATTTTGTTTAGAATCCTGGATAACATTTGTTAAAATAAAGGCCATTGAAGGTTGTTCTCTTATTTTCATTTTTGCACTAAAAATTCATTTTTACGTAAAAATGAAAATAAGAGGAACAATGACCTTGATCTTGACAAATATTACCCAGATCCTGAACAACATTAAAGAAGTTTTAGCCGTCGATCCGACACCTTGGGTGAAATGCTAATGTCGACGGTACTGTAATTTTCAAGCATAATTCAAAAAGTATACTTAATAAAAGTGAACTTTATTATGTATTTTGAAAGTGTTTTGAACTTTATTATGTGTTTTATTATGTGTCTTGATACCAGCTATTAGATTCTGGAATAAAATAGAACATTTTATTTTAAAAAATCGATGTGATTTTGATCTGATATTGGCGACATCACTTAAGATCAAACTAACAAGATCAGTATATATAATAAGTAGATCTTTTTAAACTCTACAACTTTATCTGAAACATTTTTCCAATAAACCAATACTTTCTGAGATAATTAGCCATTCGGGGACTTTTGGATCTCACTGTACATACACACACACACACACACACACGCGCGCGCGCGCGCACGCACGCACGCACATTTTTTAAATTACCGATTCTCCAGTTCTCGCAGACATATCATGATAAGGAAATCCGTTTTCCGCGGCGAATCGATGCGATCTGTCTCTCTTAACTGTTCTTTGATGTTCCATGTCACATTTATTACCGATTACCGCTATTAGAGGTATTTCATCGTAGGCTTCAATGAAACTCTTGATTTTGCTGAGCCACTCTTCCAAAATGTCGAAACTTGAGCTATTCGTTACGTCGTACACCAAAAGAATGATCTGATTCAGAAACATACATCCAGTTTGCAACATACAATCGTAGCGCACAAAAGAGACATGTCCATGGACGGCAACTATGGTGTGGAATCATATTACATCCAAAATTTAGATTATTGTGAAAATCCGTCCCTTGAAACTCAAAAAATCCAAGGATTGGATTAAAAATTAACTGTGAATTTTGTAAATGTTGTACGCGGATGCCAACCAATATTCATAATGACAGTATAATTGCGCGCATAGCAGAGATTTAACTTATGGCGAATTTGATTGGAAGTACTAAATAGTTCATATTAAAGCCGTTGATTTAATTTGAGTTTAAAAGTGAAATGCAAATTTCGAATTATAAAATACATATTTTGCCTAATAGTATTATACAATAAAATGTATTGAGTATTTCAGGGTTTAATCAGAATTTCTATGTTTATGTATAAACGTATCTTTACATTATTTTGTGTACGACAGCTTTAAAGTGCACCAGTGCGCACTGATTGAGCATCCAATCGAATTCGCTATTAGGGCTGTAACCATGTACCGTATGCCGTAATCTGTAAGAATGGACTAACCACAGTCGAGCATTTCTCTCTTACAATTGAATCAGAGGGGAATACTCGGCTGTGATTAGTCAATTACATTATTATATATAGATTACGGGCATACGGTCAATATAAATAATTCCTTACTGACTGTTGGACAGAGCAATTCGCAATTGTAAAAAAAAAAGTATGGCAACAAGGAACACAAAATAAATAAAAAGTAAAAAAACGTTGTCATTTTGTACTCTCCTCCTTCTCTCTTTTTGTTAGTAAAAAAATCCATTTTCACAGAGGTAAGTTGCCGCCTCTGGATATGTCAAAATTAAATTAATAAAAATAATTAAAATAAAATTAATTCAATAAAATTAAATAGCGAAATAAAATGTTTATATTTTAAGAAAGTAAAAGTAGCAGCAAATCGATCTTACGTGTGCTCCAAAAACGTATTTATCCAACATGTTGCCATGCAGAGCGAGTCCGCCAACGTCCCATAAATGTAGATTGACATTTTTATAGCTGCCGATGCTAATGTTCTTAAGAAAGAAATCGATGCCTGCGGTGGGTATGTATTGTCTAGTGAAATCGTTGTTGCAAAACTTCTGAACGATGCTGGTCTAAAGAAGGATCCTTGAATTTCAATTATCAAGAATAACAGGTATCATAGTAATAATAACAATTATTATTTACAATCTATCCTAATTGCACACTTTATTCGAGGAACGTTCTGACAAACGTTTTTAGGTCATACGGATATTCTTTGGAACATCCCTTGGAGGGACCTGTGCTATTAGAATATATAATAATAACAGCCACATACAATAATTACCAAATGACAAATGAAAATTACAGTTAAAACAAAGAATTATTTGCTTGTTGTATATTACAAACAATCATCGACCTGCTTAATTTTTATAATCATAGTTTATTTCTAAAGTATTTATTATTCTTGAAAAATTTATATCAATTAAAGGTATCATTACGTTGATAGAAGTGAAACAAGTAAATTAGCATTTTTTAGATCATGAAATTTATCTTGAAAACTAATATATTTTTTGTAGAGAAACAATTTATTTGAAACAGCTTATTTGCTTATATGGAAAAGTATCACAACTCTGATAAAGAATAAAATTTACTGTTTATATATAGAATTGCAATATTCAAATCTTGAAAATTCATAACATCCCTGAAAATTTTTTTTATAATTTTTATACAAATTGAAACATTTCAGAAATACTCGGAAAATTTACATCTTCTCTCAAAATTTTTCATATAAATTCTAAAATATTTTGAGATTTCTTAAAAAACTTTGAGAAAAGATGTAGATTTTCTTTGAAAAGATGAAAATTTTCTGAGAAATGTTCCAATTCGTATAAAAAATGTGAGAAAGTTAAAAAATTATATAAAAATTATGAAAAATTACATTCAAAATTCTGAGAAAATTTTTTATCAGGGATGATTTATTTTAAAGAATACATTATAATTGAAAATATAACTCAGAAAAAAAATGAAATTGTAGACATTGCATATTTGCCATCCTAATAAAACGTTGTTCCAATTCAGAATTTAAAAATGCTATATTAAGAAGTTATTAATTTTGAGAAAAGTATATTTGAATGTAGGGGAGGGGTAGGATTGTGTGTGTATTATAGTATTGTAGATAAGCATGATCATCCTTTATATTTTTGCAACGGTTGGTACTAGTAATGCCAATTGTTATAAAAAGATGTATCTGTCTTCGCGACATTCCAATATGCTGCGAAGTTTGAACTAAATTTATATATGTACTTCGATTATTTATCTGAATTTATTATATTAAATAAGCAGGTACGTTATTTTTTTATTTTTTATGTTTTTTTCCCTAACTTTACCCTACTAGGGTTCCCAATCTACATTGATATAAATAAGATGTTTTGTTCTACGAGTTAATATTTGTAAAGTAAACAGTACAAATATTGAATCACTCTAATCTTACAAATTCCCGAGACCATTATTGATTTATTAGACACGAAAGTTTTTTGAATAGATATGCATGATTGTTTATTACGAGCATGTTCATTATTCTTTATCATACACTGAAAAAAGTCCGGTGAAGGGTCAATGACTATAACAATCAGTGTACATTTCTTTAGAAATATACTGCGGTAATAAAACAGGCAATGCTAACAGTACTAGCAATATGCTAGCAATATGCTAACAATACATTAACAATATTTGGCAACATGTGCGCAATAGGTGGCAATACATATAGGAAAATAATACTAACAATACAATGGTAATACTAGCAATAAAATGTGTTGTATTATCATAATTAGCAATCACTGCATTTTTTTAGTAGTGGTTGATCCCTCGGAGTCTGCATTTGGTAATAGCTACTAAATGTATAGTGAAATAATGCCAATCAAATATTTGATTAATATAACCAAAAATAATGTTAATTACTTTTATAAATATTTAATAAATATTATCAAATTGTTATTATTTAATAATACTTACTTTAAATATTTGTAAAAGTAACATTATTTTTTATTATATTAACCAAACATTTGATTGGCATTTGTTCTAATAAAATTCTAATAAAATTTTATATACATACATATACACAAGATGTTTAGTAAGTTTTGACAAAGCGCTCATGTGTAGATAGAACGGACTAAATTGAATCGAAAAATCCTCTACTATTTTGCAATTTTTTCAATAGTTAGCAAAATATTAATTACTAAAAATCGCTGAATATATCTTCAATCATTTTTTATTCAAATATTATCAACTTTACAGAAAAACAGGAAAAGATAAAAATTGTTTATTTTCTTTTCATAAAGTTCTGAAAATTTTTTAAGAATTTTTTTAATACCGTATTTTCTCTTATTGTAAAAATAATTGCCAATAAGAAAATGTAGTACTAAAAAGTCAATGAAAAATTCTGAAAAAATTCTTAGAGCTCTATGAAAAGAAAATAAACAATTTTTGTCTCTTGCTATTTCTCTGTAATATAGCCCGTACTAGGATCAAATCGAAATATATATTTTTGTAATTTTTACAACCATTTTAACGGAAAAGGCAAAAATTGAAACTTAATTTTCGACATGACGACATTTTTTAAATAATCAGTATTTTTTCTTTGTTCTAGTATCTGCTATAACCAAACTCATACTAATTAAGAATTTCTTTGGTTTTATTTTTCAGATGAGCAAAAGAGCTGGAATCGTGGGAGCCATAGACCTAGTTTTATTTTTCACGACGTTACTTAATATTTTATACAGGGCATATTAACAATTATTTTTAATAAAAAAATTCTGAAATATTCTTCAAATATGTACACAAATATGTAGAAAAAAACCCTGTCCCAAAAAACTTTTATCTTATATTTTTAAAAAATTCGGAAAAATAGCATAAAAATTCGGCTTATAGACTAAAATACCTCCTTAAGAGTTTATTCAAACTTGCATAGTCGCATAAACGTATATATAAAAAAGTTATCCAATTACATCTCATTATAAAGATGTATGTAATATGCAATTAAATAATTTTCTTTATGTATACGTTTATGCGACGTTTATGCAAGTTTGAATAGATCCTAAGTCAGCGAGAAACAGCGAACAGCTTTTCAATGCTGTGCATTGCAGTGAAGTGGGGATAAAACGTCAGCTTTCCTTTGCTGCACGAAATTGCACCTTAATACTTTATGCGATAAAAAAATAATAGGATTTTATACTGAATAAGTAACAGTAGGAATTGTGCCCATATGTATAAGAATTTATCCTGAATCACGCAAAAAATATTACGCACAAGTGTCGATCTTTTTTCCTCGTGCCATTTGTCATTTCGCGACAAATATAAAAAGAAGAACAGAGAATAGCTTCTAAAACTAAAGGTTAATAAATTCATACTTGACCTACATGATTAGCCCCGTTAATGCAAAGATGTATCGATTAGAAAATTCGTTTCTGCCGATTTGCTTTATTATTCTATCATTACATAGCAAGTTGACGGATACGATAAACCGCGAACGTCGCATGTTGCGGAAGTTTCCGCATTGGATCCAGAGACACGAAGTCGCGACCGGAGATTTCATCGATCCTAGTTCGCATGTTACATCGTTAATCTATATTGCACAATACGACCGTACGTTTATTTTACACAGAAAAATATATAGTCATCACTACATTAACAAAACTGTAGTAATATTAACATGAATAATACCTACAACAATTAGACGTTCTAATCATATAAACATCTGCAAAAAGAGTGAACTCGTTAACTTCACCACCCGTCACAGAAAAGACAACAGAAATGATTCCGCATCAATCTTATGGAAAAATGTCTTTCTGTGAATTTGGCTAATTTTTTGATATATTGTAGTTCTCTTCATTTTGAACAAATATCTCAATGGGCACAACTTGATCCTATGGATCATTTCCGCGCTACAATCCTTGAAAGGTCCAGATTTTACATGATTAATGTGGAGTCCTCTAATCTTATGGGAAAATATCTTTCTGCTACACCCAGTGAGAAATGATAATGGAATTGACGTCGATTCGACATCGATTTCATTGTCATTTCTCACTGGGCAAGCCTTGAAAGGTACAGTAATCATGTAAAATCTGGACCTTTCAAGGCTAGCACGAAAACGGCCCGTTGAGACATTTATTCAAAATGACGAGAACTATAATATATCCAAAAATTAACCAAATCCGCAGAAAGACACTTTCCCATAAAATTGGTCCGGGGTCATTTATCAAATACTCTTCGATAACGAAGCCCTCCCTGTCACCTGTTGAAGGATTCTTGCTATAGCGTTTTTCACCATGGTGATCGCAAACAAATTTAAACGGACGGATACACACTAATAAATATCGCTCGTTAAGTGCCGAGCACCCCCGAAACTAGGGATCAACCACCTCTGTCGACCGCCGCCGCGTTTTCAAGCGACGCTGACAAAAACTCACTTTGCCGGCACCGGAGTCACCCACGAGCACGATTTTCAGCCGCTTCTCGATCGACTCCTCTTCAACGTCCGACATTGTAAATGTGACGAAGATATAAGCCGAATCGACGATGATCCTCGATGGTGATCATAAGAACGGCATGACTCGTCCGTCGGGACGGTCTTCGACTATAATGGCGCAGCATGAAATGTGGCAGCTCGCGTGTTGTGGCCGACAAGCGAGGTCCGAATCGACCGGCAGTGGTGGCCAGTACGCCGTCGTCGTCGTCGTTGTCGTCGTCTACTCGCAGGCATGAATAAATTAGCGAATAATCGATAATAGAACCGCGGCATCACCAACGTGCGTACTTCGCGGTTAGTAGAAGTTTTCGACTTGAAGAGTGATCCTGTACAGAAAGAATAATTTTGCTGAAATATTTCTAAAAATATATCTAAAAATTTAGCTAAAATACAAATTTGAAAATAATATTGTTGGATTAACAAAATAATTATGTAGGATACGAGCAATGCTATGTATAACAAGTTTTAACAACCAGCTTGAATGTCTTATATATATACAAGATATATATAAAATTATTTTTTTGTATGATCTAATAAAATTAATTTACATAAAATTATTTACAAACTTATTTTAAGATATAAGTATATAGCTAAATTTTTAGTTGCTTTGACAAAACTATTCTTTTCGTGTGACGACAACAACGACAATAATGATGACAATGTGCGTAACGTTTTGGACGACCACGATATACTGCGTTTAGTGGGACACTTCTCAGTTCTTTACTCTGTGCAAGTTTCGATGTTCTTGGATAATTTGAAAGTTTGGAAACAAATACTATTCAGCATAAAAAATAGTGTTTGCGATATTAAATTACAATTTGTTGTATGATACAATCTTGTTTTCTTATTAACTAATCTATATATTAATACTGGCGCAATGAAAATATCGTATTTTATATAAATATATTATTTTATCGCTTTATTTTTAAGCACTTTTCCGTGTCAACAGAGTCGCGGTAACACTCATAAAACAATCTAAAAACCTATCAACGTGCCTTAATTAAAAATTAGGTCTTTATAATTTTGTAAAAGATAATAATTCGATACTCTGCAACACGTAATGGTTCTCACAACTGTAAGTCGATCGGCTCGCTCGAAATTTGCTTTGACGATTTCATAGTATCTTCCGTCACTGCAAAAATAATGTTTTATAAATATCACTTATTCTATAAGATAAATTTGTTTTAATCGTACTTATACCTAAATGTACAACGGTTGTAATTGCGATTTAAAGATTATAATTCTTGACAATATAAAATGTAACCAATAATTAACATTTAGACTACTGTTTACATTTTGTATCAGCAAGAGTGTTGTAAATGTCATTAAATTGAAATTATACAGTACAGTTTACGCACAGATATGATTTAAGCAATTTTATTCTTCATCGCTATATTTTTTACCTTAGGCTTAAACATTTCATCTTGATACACTTCACACGTAGAATATCAATAGCTTTCTGACTTTTGTCCGAAAATCGTAAGTTTTCCGGATCCCATCGCAACTCCAAACGCTCCAAATTAGGACAATTATTAGCGATTCCATCCATCAATTGATCCACGTGTATATTGACGCCCAGTCTCTCTTGAGTGCCCATCACAAGTATTCTGAAATATTATTGGAATTCTTAATTCTCAAAAAATGTTTATTTTTAAATTTTAATTATAGTTAAATTTAAATTATAATAATAGAAAGGAAAAGTCTTTAAATAATATAAAGCCTTTTTAATCCTGGACTAGAGCATCTGCATGTGGAAAAAATTGCAAATATACAAATTCATTATTTAAGACTAAATTGTAAATATCACATTTAATGGAAAAATAGAATTAGGTACTACATAATTACAGGGAAGTAACGTTATTTTCGTTACTTTTTTTCGGTAACAATCGTTTCTTTTTTCTGTCTGTAATAGGAATATCGGGCAGCCTATCCGGCTGCTTTTTTACAATTCGGTCGTTTAGTTCAATAGTTCGATTATCGAGAAAAAAATTATTTTTCATAATTTAAATAAATAATTTTAGACTGCGTTATTCATTGCTTGTACTGAAAATCTGAAGTGTACGTAATATGAATTATAATATTTACATTATATAGTAAATAACGGAACATAGTCTTGAGCCAACTAATCATTTACGTGATTTTCTTTATAATTGGCTAGAATAATTCTTCTTTGTTCTGAATCAGTTGGCGTCTCTCTTTAATATAGGCTATCTAGTTAGTATTGTACTTCAGTCAGTACTGCACAATTCTCCTCTATATATCAAGTAAATAAAAAATTATTATATTATGTAGGATTTAAATTTGAACTTTGCTCCAAATTTTTCAAAGCACTATTTAGTTCTGAATTACTAACTCGTAAGATATTTAATTTCAGATAAATTTAATATAGATAATTATAATAATATTGTTGATTCTTAATACATAGAAAATATATAGAATAGATTTTTATTAAATTTATTATGAATAATAGTTTTATTAAAAGTCAACATATAAATATTAAAAAATCGTTTAATACATATAAGTTATCACATTTTTGTAGCATATTTATAATGGTTTTAATTAAAAAATCTTCTTTGTTATTGTAAAAAAAAACAATTAAATTTTTTATTTTTCAATCTTTTTGTGCAATTGCCGGGTAAAATCCAGTTATTACAATTTATCGGGCTTTGTCGGATAAAATCCGTTTATCTAGTAGAAATAAATGACGAATTATCCGATATTTGATTATTCGATAAATGATTATCTGTTGCATTCCTTATATGGGATTAGTCATGTCTTGAATACTCACTTTGCATTAGTGAGAATTGGTAATACACTTTGCCACAGTTGATCAGTCATATGCGGCATGCCTGACAGCGCGAGGCCATACAGCTGATGGCCGTGCCTCGACAGGAACTTGTGCAGGGCGTCGTCGCTCAAATTATCAGATCTATCTAAGTCCAGTGCTATCAAGTTCCGCGTATTTCCAAGTTCAGTCCAGGCCTTCAGCACGTTATCATTAAAATTGTTTAATTGACCGGCGCTCAGAAAACGCAGTCCGGGGATTCTGCTCAACATGTCAATTAGGCATTCCGTCGATAGATCTGTAGCAGTAATGTCGAGTTCCTGAATGCTCGACTTTTCCCATTCAACTTGCATCACATATTCGCTCTGCAAATCTAAAATATTGTATGACACTATTTCTTTAAAATTTGATTTAACAAATTACATTTTTATTCGAGTTACGTAGAAGACACACACATTTTTTTATTAATATTTTAACTTATAATTTAAACAATTTAATTTATTTAATTTATTTAAACAAAAATTCGTAAAGTAACAGATTTCAAAAATTTTAAGTAAATAAAATTTTTATCAAAAATAGCAGATAAATCAAGACGATCATAGACATAATCATATCTCACTTGTTCCTTGCATAAGAAGACACGTCAGTCTTCTACTCCTTTGAAAAAGAGTTTTCATGGTCGAACCAGTTACTTTAGAACAATAATTGACCGCCAAGCATTCTAATTGTATACAATTAGAGGAGAAAGCGTCGATATGCGAATCATCCACGAAGTTAATTCCATATAAATTGATGACTCTTAAATTTGGGGTTGCTGATTTTAGTTTGTGTACATTGATCACCTCGTAAATCTCTTCTTCTTCTTCTTCGACTTTTTCATATGTCCCTAAAGAATAGATAAAGCGATTAAAAAAAATATCTACATTACATCTAACATTATAATAAATATATAGATCCTATAATAATACTTTTTAATGTACAGAGAGAATCTACTCAAAACAAAACACTAGAATATTTTGAAAATTAAACCCAACAAGTAAGTAAAAACGTTTCAAACAAATTTGTATGACTTTAAGTGAAATAAATAATAAAAAATTAATTTTTGAAAAAAATCAATTTTTTTAAAGTCATGAAGGTTGAGATGGCTATACAAATCGATTGCCTATAGCATCATTGTCTACATCACTTTTGCCGACAGTTTGTTTGCACACAAAAATTATCGCCTACAGTTCGATTGCTTACATGCACTTTTGCACAAATATAAAAATTTCAGATACGAAAACACATTATTACCTACATGTATTATTATCTACAGCGCGATTGCGCTATAAACATTTTTGCACACAAATATAATATGCTCTTCTAATTGTTTTCTAATTTTTTATGCAATTACAGATTAACTGGAGAAATTATATTACGTAAAGAAATCATATCATTCCATTTTAAAAAGTAGAGATGATCTTCATCTTGGAATCTTGAAAAATCAATTTTTTCAAAAATTTATTTTACTATTATTTGTCTCTCATAAAATCATATAATTTTTGTCTAAAACATTTTTGTTTTGACTAACGGGTTTAATTTTCGAAATATTCCGATATTTTGTTTTAAGTGCCTCATCTTGTATAAATATAATGCATCCATTTGTTTAAGGGTCAGTTGTTCTAGCTTCAGATAAACTATATGGTGATTTACCTATTGGATAAACAAAAGAATAAAAGAGTAAAAGAATAAGACAGTATAAGAGAGTAAGAGAATAAGAGCTGAAGTTTATCGAAAAGTGGAACAACTCAACCTAAATATATCAGATTTGATATTCAAATTTATAACAAATATGATATATAAATCAACGTTAAAAAATAATGCGTTACTTGTAATGCTGTTATAATTATTATAATCTTTTTTCACCTGTAATGAGAATACATTTTTACAGTAATAGTAACAAAGCCATTTCATTTATCATTACTTCAGTTCCCTATTATTTTCAATAAATCTTATTATTTTTATTATATTTGGTTTAATAGAACCGTTTTATTTAAATTTATTTTTTATTTAAATAGAAATGTATACATTTAAATTTGTATCTCCAATATATTTTATATCTCAGACTGCATTTCGATAATCACTATTATTACTGAAAATCTGTAATATATACACATTATGTAACGTGAATTATAAGTTTTCAATATTGGTAGTGAATGTCGGGATGCATTTTTAATTTTAACTTATAACGGCAACG